GTGGAGGAGGAATGGGGGGTGGATAGAACTGAGATGGTGAGGAAGCAGAGGATGCGTCTGCCTAGGACCAGGAGCAGAAGACTAGCAGCAGGGAGCAAGACTGTCAGTAGCAGCGCTGTTGCTCCCCCTGGTGGTCCTTTGGTTCTCTACCTGCGTTTTCCCTATCGTCTTTGGTGGCTAGGGCCTCTTAAGGGACCTGCTTTTGCTCCTATGCTGGTCCCAAGCTCTTGACAGTGTAGGCCTGAGTGAAGGCATTGATGTCACACTTCCTTCTGGAAAGGTGCTAGAAATTGCAACATCAGGGAATATTAAGAGTAACAGATGGGGTAACTGAGGCAGAAGTGAGACCAGTTCTCACCTCCCCACGCCTATGTTTGCCTCCTTGGGAAATAGCTCAAAACAGTCTAATTCCAGGGCTCTGGACTTCTGGGCATCAAGAACTCTGCACTTAACCTTCATCCCAACACCGCACTGGGAAACACTGAAGATAGACTTCCTGTGTTCAATCCAGGCTACGCTATTTATCTGCTTGTGACAGCGGGCTATTTATGGGACCTTTCTTTGGGGCTACTTATTCTCTGAAAAGTGGCCACAGTAATAATATGTAACCTCCAGGGGAACCTTGCTAGGATTAAATGAATTCAGAGATGTAAAGCGCTATTCAAAGTGACATACATGTCAGGTCAGGGCCTCAAACTAGCGTCATTTCATAGAACTCCTCCAAGCTTTTTTCTCGACTCTGCAAAGTCACCCTCCTGTCCATCCCTTTCATTTTCAGCCCTGGCCCAGCACACCCTCCTCCTCCACCTGTCACCCTGGACTCCACTCCCTGTCCATCTTTCTGCACCCCCCCCCGCGCGCCCCATGCTATTCTCGCTATAGCCCTGCATCACCGCTCCCATCCTCCAGCCTGCCCGCACCCGTGGCCTCCACCATGCCCTCTAGAATGACTACGATCTCGAAGTCGTCCCTCTCGAGGGCGCGGCGAGACGCCTCCCAGAAGGGGCTGGCGGCATCGATCTCGTGGCTGATGACAAGAGGCGAGACGAGGAAGAGGCGGTCGTCCCCCGTGTCGAAGCCCACGCTGAGGTCAGTCTGGTGCAAGGGGATGAACTCGCCCTCGAGCGTCTGGCGCGAGCGGATGAGCTTGGCGCGGATGGAGGCCTCGACGATGTGCGAGGACCGCAGGTCGCCCACGCGGAACATGAGGCAGAGGCGCCCGTCGCGCAGCGACACCACGGCGTGCGACGAGAAGACCAGCGTGGCGGCCCGCTTGTTGGGCTGCGAGATCTTGACGAACATGCAACCCACCATGAAGGCGTTCACCATGGAGCCCAGGATGGCCTGCAGCAGCAGCAGCACGATGCCCTCGGGGCACTGGTCAGTAATGACGCGGTGCCCGTAGCCGATGGTGGTCTCGGTCTCGATGGAGAAGAGGAAGGCGGCCACGAAGCCGTTGAGGTTGTTGACGCACGGGGTCCACGCCGTGTCCTCCAGGTGCTCCAGGTCGCCGCGGCCGTAGGCGATGAGCCACCAGATGGCGCCGAAGAAGAGCCAAGTGAGCGCGTAGGCGAGCACGAAGAAGAGCAGGCTGAGGCGCCACTGCAGGTCCACCAGCGTGGTGAACAGGTCGGTCAGGTAGCGGTAGGTCTCGCGCACGTTGCCCTGCTGCACGTTGCAGCGCCCGTCCTTCTCCACGTAGCGCTGGCGGCCGCGGCGCCGGGGCGGCTCCTCCGACACCGGGGAGAAAGCGGCATTGTCCTGCGCCATGGCGGCCGCAGCCGGACCCCTGCGGGGACTTAATAGAGGCGTGCCGGAGTTGATGGATCCACCCCGAACTCGGGGTCTCTTAGCCTCGATTTCCCCCACTTGCTGGAATGGGAACTACAACCCTAACCGCCCACGGACTCAGAAAGTTGGGGGGTCGGGAGGGCTGGAGGGCTGGCTCAAATGGCTCACTGGTTGCTTGCTCTTCCAGGGGATCTGGAAACGTTTGACTGCCAGCACCCACAAGTATGTGGGCTCACAGCCGGTGGCCACTCCAGTCTCTTGCCCTCTTCTGGCCTCCGAGGGTGATGCGCAGCATACATGAAGGCAAAACACCCACACGCATAAAATAAAAATGAAGGTTAAGAAAAAGTAGGGATCACACAGGGTAATGAACATGGACCGGGCAGCACAGTGTACGTTCCATGGGAAGGAAGTGTTAGAGATCTCCGTGACACAGATCTCGGTGTCACTACCTCAAGCCGGAGTGTGTAGCACCTCACAGGCAAGCCCTACCAGACACCTGGGATTCTAAAACCCTAAGACGTGGGTTCCTTGGCAGGGATGAGGACTTCCAACGCTCGTTCCCCAGCTATTATCCTCTCCCCAAGGACTCTTCATCATCCTATAGGAAGACCCACCTAAAGGCTGTTTTGAAGTTCATGCCAAGGCTATTCCTTCTCTTCTGTTCCTGAATCTCACTCTTTCCACCTCTTCCTACATTGTTTCTCCACCCCAGACTTACCAAGGAGAGAGAGAGAAAAAAAAAGTAAGCTGTGCACAAAAGAACCTGTCCAATATGCAAAGGTTCAATGTTCCCAACGTTAGGAAATTCCCACTGGCAATTCTGATTGCTTAATCATGGTCACTGATGCTTTGATATCAGCCCATCTCCTGGGCTCTTTCCCAGAGCAGACATGCTGAACAGGCTTAGCAATAGGAGGCTGGAGGCCATGTGAGATCAACTGCCCACAGCAAGAATAAAGGAAGCTCCAGGCCATCCAGGGTTACTCTAGTCTAGTATCTTCCAACTCGATTCTTTCTAAGAGATAAGAAATCAGACCAAGTGAAACACCAAGCGCCCACATCAATCCCCCTCCCAGTTTTCTGCTTTGCATTTACTACCCTAGCAGCAAGCCCACCCACACCAGCCATATGTCCCAAAGCCCACATTCCAAGCAAAGCCCAGATTCCAAGCAAAACCCACCTGGTTTTGTTTCAAATTCTTGCCCCTGAGATGCACTCTGAGTTGCAGTCTTCCCTGAGAGATAGATGTCCAGAGTCCTTCCCTAGGCGCTTAGGGTCCCCTAAGAGATATGGACCATATGAACCAAGGATTTAGGATTCAGCAACCTTCCTGTCTCTTTTTTGGGATTTGTGATTTCCCATTCCAAGGAAACCTGGGGTGGGAGGGGGAGGAGAGGCAAGAGGGTTGGGAGGGCAAGGGAACACAAGAATGTGACATAAGGCTCACAGATGGCTTCGATGACCAGGTCCTAGGGAGAAACTGCATGGATATGTAACTACAAGCCCGGCATTCCAGTTTTAAAATTTTGGAGCGAAGTGTTCTGCAGCCAGACCTTTGGAGGGTGTGTGTATGTTAGATAAAAGGCAGAAGGAGAAACCACAAAGAGATGGTTTGTATCCTAAGGACCCCCACCCTTATTTTCCATGGGGGTCAGGAGATGCGAACACCTTGGCAATGGCAGATTAGATCTTCCCCTCCCCCAACAGCAGGCTTGCTCTTCCCTCTCTGCAGCTCAGGGTGTCCTCTGGAAGTGATCTGTAAGTACTCAGTGCCCCAAGACCCTAGGTCTCTTTCTTCCTAGCAGTAGCGTCAGGTGGGTTCCAGACATTCTCCTTAGGGTCTTAGGTAATCTGACCTCCATCTATGGCCAGGAATGGGGAAGGGACCCTAATGTCTGATCAACCCCAAAAGGCTGATTGCCCAGGGAGCCTTTTGACTGCATCCTAGCTGTTGTCATCCCGAGGAAGGGTCCTCTTCTTCACAGGACAGGAAAGGTGTGCACTGTCCACTAACTAAAGAGCAAGGTCTTTATTTCTGCCTCTTCCCTCCAAATAACTCCAGCTCTTCCCACCACAGTTCTTGGGCATGCTGGGACGCTTTCAGTGAGATCCCAGCACCACATTTTCTTGGTACTCTTTTCCTCCCCCAAGAGAGTGCTGGCTAGTACGGGGGGGGTATCTTTTATAGGAGGTCTATCTGGTGGAAACTCCCTCAGGAACCAGCTCCACCCAAACCCCACTTGCCTTAGAAATTGGGGCCCAAACCCCAAGTCCCACAACTCAACTCACAGAGCCTGGAGAGGAGAGGAGCCGGCTGCAGAAACCCTGGGGGGTTGGTGCCCAGGTCCCTGACACCATCTCCCCCCTACCATGGGTCCCCTTTGAGAGTGGGAGCCGCAGACACTGCTGTTTCTCCTAAATGTAGCGGCAGCTCAGACTAGGACTTGGTATCTGTGTCATCCCCACTTCCCAGGTTCCCCTGCTCCTCTTTCGTTTCCATGGCAACCAGTCTGGCTACAGCTCCACAGCGTCGCCCTCCCTTTCCCAGTCCTGGGTACCACTCTGGTTGATCCACACGCCATAGCTATTTTTAGCCCAAGTCCCTCCTCCTGGACACTGACAGCCGTCTCCTCACCCCTTTATGAGGGTTGGGGGGGAGCATACGTGAGGAGGATGGTGGGCTGGGGGCTTGGCATGCTGGCCCTTTTCTAGCTCCTCATTCTGGGAAAATAGAGGCCTGGATGTTTTGGGAATAAAATGTCTGATTTCAGGGGGTCATCTGGGAGCTCACAGCTCATGATCCCCCGCAGGGACCACTGGGTAAAGGTGCTGCTCTCAGACCAGGCTCACCACGGCAGGCTCCAGTTTTGAAAAGACCTCGGATGAAGCGAGCAACAGCTAGAAGGAAAAGAGGTCTGTGGAGGTAGGAGCTAGAGGCAGGGCCAGCCATTCTGTCGTCACCGATACATGATGCGACAGAAGTCCCTTCACTTCGCTGAGCCATAGCTGTTCTATCTCAGAGTGTGGGCATGGGCAAACAGCCCTCTTCCGCCTGGTTCACACGGGATGCAGGCCAAATTAGGCAATGTAAGTAGAAGCGTTTTGAGATGTATTTTTCTAATAGCAAAAAGTCGAGAAAACCCTCAAATGTCCAATGGAGAGAAAAGTTTAGGCTAGTGCTCACCATCAACAGACTTAAGGGGCCCAAATGCTACACACGGTGCCAGGTAGAGGTAGGTGTTCATGAAACTTTGAAGAGGTCTCTACCCAGAAGCAGATTATGGTGCCATGGGAAGGAAAGACGCAGAGTAGGACTACTGCTGCACGCTACTGTTGCTATTCCACCAAGCATCAGCTCATTTGATGTCTATGAGACACTTATTTTTTCTACTTATGGATGAAGAAAAAGTAGCTTATTAAATTCCGGAGTTGGAGAGAGATAAGAGCCGCACATCTTGTCACTGCCCTCAAGCTTATCATAAAAAAAGACTTGTGATATTTTTGTTTGGTAGGCAACGCCCCCCTCCCCAGGTCTTACTGTCTAGCCCAGGTTGGCTTCCTCCGTATTGGGATTATAGACATGCATACAAAGACTTCTTTCAAAGGGTAGTTTTAATTTTACAGCAAAAAAAAAAAAAAAAGATCAAGAGAGGAATCTGGGGGAGATAGCTCAGTCAGTAAAGTGCTTGCCCTGCATATGAGGACCCGAGTTTGGGTCCTCAGCACCTATGTAAAAAGCAGGACCTGGCGGCAAGCACCTGTAATCCTAGCACTGGGAAGGTAGAGACAGGAGGGTGCCCACTGACCAGTTAGCATCGCTGAACTGGTGAGTTCCAGGTTTAATGATGGAGAGTGACGTAGGAAGACATCGATTTCTGGCCCCTGCGTGCACACACGAGTACGTGCACACATACAGATGTATAGGCATACACATAAATTGAGAGAAAGGCACAAAGAGTTCCCTTTTGTCTTCTGCCTGGCATATACACAGCCCCTTCCCACCCCATCAACATCCCCAATGAGAATAGCAGCTTGGTTACAATCAACAAACCTTAGTTGGCACAGCATGATCGCCAGTCTCTAGCTCTCATTAGAGCTTTCTTTTGGTGTGCTTTCTCTTGCCGTAAGTCCAGAACAGTGTATCATGGCATGTATCCACTATTACAGTGTGGAGTGCTTTTCTCTGCTCTTTGCTTAGTCATCCCATTCTCCCATTAGCCTTCGGCAATCTCTCTCTCTCTTTTTTAACCGTTTCCATAGTTCTGCCTTTTCCAGAATGTCATGGAGTTGGAATGATACAATATGTAGCCCCTCAGATTAGCTCCTTTTTACATTTAAGGTTGTTGCATGTCTTTTTATAGCTCCATAACTCATTTCTTTTTTGATACTGAGTAACAGTCCATTGCCAGGGTGTGCCACGGTTCATTTGCCCATTCACCCACTGAAAGACGTTTTGCTTTCAGTTTTTGTCAATTACAAATAAAGTTGCTATAAACATCTGTGTGCAGGATTTTTATTTGGAGAAGTTTTCAGCTTTTGGGGAGGTAAATACCAAGGAGTGCAGTTGCCATATCATATGGGAAGAATATGTTTAGTTTTGCAGGTGACTGCCAAATCGTCTTCCAAAGTGACGGTACCATTTGACAGTCTCACTAGCAGCACTTTCCTGTTCCTGTTGCTCTATGTCCTTGCCAGCATTTGGTACTGTCAGCTCCATGAGCTGACATCACCACAGGAATGTGATAACTGTAGCGTTCAGTATAATAGGTTACTGCAGAAAGTCATGGTAGTTGATATGTTTATGTATGCGAATGTGCATGCAGATAGGGCTGCTACGTAAAAAAAGTAGAGCATAGGCTGGAGTTCAAGGTGAAGAGTTCAAGACCAACCTGGGCTACACGTCGTGTTCAAAGCCAGCCTCAGTTACATAAAAACTTGTCTTTAAAAAGGAAAGGAAGGGGCCGGGCGGTGGTGGC